ATTGATTAGCATTTTGTAATATTATGACCAATATCAAAAATATTTGGTAGCACAAAATTAAGCCGACTACGCGATTGGCATGTATGTATATTGAGAGATATAGATACTCTGTTTATCAGCTGTTCATCATAATAATATGTCATATGTGACTAAACTATGTACGAAAATAAGGAACGAATTTATAAACTAATTCAGTGTATCTTATTAAAAAAGTATTAAACTTAATACTACGTTTTATGAGGTAGAGGTTTTTCATATGAGACTAAACTCTTAATTTGAATCTCTGTGCAATTGTAGTGTTGAAATACAATAATAGTATTATAAAATAATTGCTTGCATGTTACAGATATAAATTGAGTTGATCTTAGAAACGCGAACCCGCTTATGAGACGAAGCATTCAAAATTAATCTTTACAACTATTGCTTGCAGTGCTAACAAGAATTATGTACTGTTACATAAATATAATATATTTATTTAAATCAGGTGAGGAGAAAATTCAGCATCAAAAAAACTGACCTATTTACAAATCGGTACATTGGTAAAAAGTCGTAAAAAATTTACAATGTGTACGTAAGTATTACATAAAATGACTCCTACGCAAATTAAACATTCAGTCGTTGTCTCATACCGTGTTTCAAACTATACTATACTGTGCCCACGGTTTCGTCCGTGTGCTATAGTGACCATGACAAATTGTGGGGAATTAACTATTATAGCGCGGCAACACCGCCTAGTTACAACAGAACAATATAATAACAGGCCTGTCATTCGAGACCGAATCGCCTTCTTGTATATATCTATTGTAAATAGTTCGTTTAAATGTCATATTTATTTATATTCAATATTATCATACTTCCTTACAAACTTTCATCTTCCCTACAACTTTTTTATTGCATTAAAAAGTAGCATATGTCCTCAGGGTCTAGACTATCTGTGTACAAAATTTCATTTAAATCAGTCCAGTAGTTTGGCGTAAAATTGAGACAGACGGACAGACGGAGTTACTTTCGGATTTGTATTATTAGTAGATAAGGATATACTACATTCGACTTAGCCCGCGTGGATTCGGAATACAATACGTAGGTGTTTTGTCTGTTATGCTCGTTAACGTGGTCAGTTTACTCTAGATATGTTATTGCTATAATTTCTATAGGTTTGAAGTCGAAGATAATAAGAACGGTTTATTTTATTACTCAACAAGCTGACCTGAGCAACTTTGTCTGAGCCCACTTACTTGACATTTATAATTATATTTCAGCCAATTTACATGATATCTTTTTAAATTATCAGCTATGTGTTATTCTGATGTATTAGGTACATTGCTGTAAAGCTTCATCAAAATCCGTTCAGTAGTTTTTACGTGAAAGAGCAACAAACATCCATCCATACTCGCAAACTTTTATATTTATAATATTAGTAAGATAATAATTGCCCACTCTACTTACTCTAACGTTTGATATATATGATTTATTTGCATTTATTAGCACATATCCAACTAAAAACATTAACATGTAAAGTTGTATAACATCTGTTTATAAGAGCCAACAATCTTATATGTTAGCCTTTTTCTTATTCAAAATTCATGTAAATGCATGTAAATATGATAAAAAAAAACAATTATTTGCCATTAAAAAAAATTATATGAAGTTTATTTGTATATATAAATTCTTGCTATTTAACATAGGTTTATTACTAGAAATAAATAGTTGTGAAGTTAAACTTATTTTAAATAATTAATAAATACATCTGCAATTAAGTCTAATTGGAGTTACGATAATGGTGAATGTAGCGATCCAATTGACAACACGTGGAAGGCTCAGTTGCAAGCGCGCTAACTAGTCTCTATATGTATATAAAAATAGATGTTCGAATTTTTGTCATCTATAGATTTGTTTTTAAATCATTCGGCTAGTTATGATGACTCTTTGGTGAGTTATTCTGCATGGTTCGGTGAAGTGTTCTGGTAATAAACAAATCAGTCAGCTTGTCTTTATGTTAAACTTTAATCAACCGTCATAAAATAAGGCATATATGTAATATTTATATACCAGTGATATTAACTATACATATAATGAATGAACAATATCGCGGCCTAAAGCTAGTATAATAAATATAAATGTGAGCGATAGTTTTGCAACTATAGTTAGTGTATTGCAGATTGGATAATTAGATTTAACATTTTACTCTCATATTGCAAACGATGGTTAGCTTAAAGTGTAGCAATCGATGCCTATGGCGATTAATAACAATAGTAATAGTAACATTTTGAAGCTTTCTATTGCAATATTATGGATAACTAAAATTTTATTCACAAATCAAACAATGTTACCAGCTTCTAAAAAAAATAATACACCTGGACAATTCATACAACGTCAGCTAGTCCCAAGGTAAGCAGAGACTGTGTTATAGTTATTGTACAATTGATATAAATATACATATATAATATACACAGAAAATACCCAGATCGATACAAACAATAATTCTTATGTATACAAATGTTTGTACCGTGCGAGGAATCGAGCTTGCGACCATTGGAAGTAAGGCGGTACAACGCTATACCGCTAGACCAGCGAGGCCGTTATAAATAAAAAACAAACAATTTTATGTTCACTTAGAAAAAGTTATGAAGTAACACAGATAAGGAAACGGAAATAAATAGCCGATTGACAACCTGTATATTATATTCATATATGCTCATATTTACACGATGAACCTAATTATTTGAAAATTACACAAAACTATTATCACTGTCTTATATTCCGGAACTTAACTTATTATTGAAGTAAGCAGTATAGCTAATTTGAAAACTAGCTGAGACGGAGTTACTAGTAACTTTGTACTACAAAGTTTATCCCAATTAAATTAAGTGTCTGTCACTATATTCAAAAGATACATAATTTAAAGAAGATTTTTCGTATACCTAATAAAATAATTTGTTATAATAAATATAACAAATTAGTAAGCTAACAGATAGTTACACTGAAATATCATCCTTTAATCTTCATAGTATTTGGTTGCAGACTATTCTTTGTGTCATGAATTTAACAAGAAATAATGTGTAATGTAGTAATAACGCGTGCTTTGTTTTTGTTACGGTTTGGTGAAAAAGAAAGTAATGAAATAAAATTCAAGGTTTAATGTAAGTTGATTGTGCTCATGGGGATTCTGTTGTTAGGTAATCTTTACCAGTATCTGTAATGGTGTTGTATCTTTGTTTGTGTTCATCTAGCTATTTCTCTACTAGCTCATTTATACAGATTTAGATTTAATGGGGTACCGGACTGTATATACTCTCGGTGTTAATATTTAGAATAGTAAGTCTCGTGAGTAAATTCGCATTGATTCTGATTGGTCACTTTTTTACTATACTGTAATACTAACATTACTTCGAAATGTTAAAGGTACTGAAAAATACAGTAAATCTATATAAACATTTTAATAAATAAGTTCGATATCGATAAATATATTTTATAACAATAAGACAAGTAATTTAATACAGATTTAGTCGTTTAGCTTTTATAAAACTTGTCTTGTCAGAAAACTCAGAATTCTGTGTTATGATGCCAAAGTTGGCTAGGTAACAATTTATTTTTAACTGGCTGCTCCCGCGACTTCATTCGCGTGGTATAGTTGTACCTTGTATATCATAAAATATATAATAATCTAACACAAAAAGTTAAGTTAAAGTACCACCATTCTTAAAAATTTAAGATATTCTATACAAACTTTCATTCTCTAGGTCTATTTTACTCTCTTAAGGATAAAATGTTTACAAAGTTTCAATGTAATATATATTTAATCAATAGTCTAAAAAATAAGTTTCAAGCTAGCTTTAAAAAGGACGATACATCCATACATCCTTTCATTACCCCCTACCCTTACAACCCCTTTTTCGCATTAAAAAGTAGCCTAGGTTCTTTCTCAGGGACTAAACTATCTGTGTACCAAATAAAAAATATTTAAATCGGTTCAGTAGTTTTAGTGTGAAAGCACGAGAGATAGATAGAGTTCATTTAGCATTTATAATATTAGTGAGGATAAATGAGATACACTTGGTAAATTAAATTTGTATATTTGTTGTTGTTATTGAACATAGACGATATGTATCAGTCGTTGCAATATCTGTGTAAATAACTTTCTGGATAGCAAGTATTTTACACTACTATGTATTTTATATTACATATATCTTTTATCAAAAATTAAATCTGTGACAAAGAATCTCTGATAAAATATTACAGTGATGGTTCGCATTGCATATATAGTTAAAATTCGCAAAGCATGGATTATTATTATTGTACCCAAAAATATAATTGAAATTAGTGAAGAATATCATTCATAAAGAAAATAAAAAAAACTACATTGTAACGTAATAACATTTGACTTGATCTTGAACAACAGATAATTACACAAAAACTATTATATTACTAAATGATTCGTTTCTTAACAATTACGAAAACTGCAGTTTATAAACATATTTCAACATACACCGGCAACGTGTTTTCAAAGAGCAAATCAATTAAGTTACGTTACGTTAGTAACATTATCTGAAAATATATCTATTACTGTAGCGCTAAATCACATTATGACAAGAAACCAAATAATTTATGATGTTTTACACCGTTTCCAGTGCAGACATCTACGTCGGAAGTTTATTTACCTCAACCAAGTTTAGATTATTGTTGACAAAAAAAGTAAATTCAATCACAAGTATCACAACACTATGTGAGCACTTGATACAGATTACAAAAATATGGTATGCGCGTGTGAGACTGCCTCTTCGGACAGTCCTACCCCACCTGATCGAGCCCCACCAACTTCAAGTGGCGCCTTTCTACCTCAAATGCAAAAACACCTTGCACCTTTCTAATTTAGCCGGATAAAACGGGCTAGTAGGGATGAACCAAGGGGCTCCATTATGCAACTCTTGGACTTGAAACCGTTCAGTATATAAGCTTGTGGATCGTTCGGAAACAGTAGAAAGCAAACCAGTGTCCACAGACCAGGTGTATCATTAAAATCAGTCCAGCAAACCAATAGCAAGATGTACACGAAACTCGCCGTAAGTTTGGCAAAAAGGAACAATTTTTGAAAAACGAAATATAATTTTAACGCTGAAACGTTAAAATGATATTTCTTTTTTCAAATATTGTTCAAATTACAAATTAGGAAAATATAATTTAATGATGGAATAATGCTGTATTTTTTTATTCAATTAATTAAATTTGACAATGTTTAACTTTGTTTACAGCTCGTCGGTCTCTTTGTTGTCGTAGTGGTTGCTTCTCCTACTCCCGGGGGTCACGGCGGCCATCAGTAAGTATTATTTCACTTATTACACATATTGTTTACATTATAGTATTTATAATCTGACTAAATTTGAATCTTATAAAGAATTCACAACTTCATCTTATGTTCCGTAAGAAAATATTTAAAAAAGAAATGCTATTGAACTACCGTTACACGCAATAATAAAAATAAGACAACGAAAACGAGTGACACTGACCTTACTTCAAATACTATACATTTTTATTGCTACAAAAAATACACGTTCATTCAAAGAAACCGCATTGAGTATGCTCACTCTGAAAAAAGTAAAAATAGTGCAGCTAATGAATAAAATAACATTATGCAACTTATTCAAGGTCGAATAAAAAACCTGTTAAAATGAAACGGGTTACGTAGACTTATCTGAACAGAGCGTGAATACTAACATTCAATTTAATACACTCTTCAATAATATTTTAGAAACACTGTATATTTTCGATGAGGTGTTAGATTTAGAAAACGTTTAACTATTCAAAGTGCTCAAATCTAAGTTTCATTGAATAAAGATTATTTTTATTATATGAATAGAAATATTAATTTACTTGATTATCACTAATATTACCCCAATTAATGAATGTATTTGATTCTCAAAATAAGAAATCTTATTGATACAAATTTATACAATAAAATTTTATAATCTTAAGTCCTAGTATAAAAATGCAATAAGTATATTTAAGCGTTTATATTAAAAGTAATTTATTTTGATCAAATTTACATATAAACGATAACAAATGCTATTACATATCTACAATAACATAAAAATAAGTAATAGTAATAATAGCGCCGTTTTGTAAATATATAGTATATATTAAACATATGATAAATATTGCAAAACAGCTTCCTCATTACGTTATAATGTTATTTTCATAAAGATTAAGAATGTTTACTCAAAATTAAAGCGTTTCCTCTCATGTTTGCATAATTATCTCAGTCGCGATTTCATTTAGATATATTTATTTAATGTACCTGATTATTTGATATTTAACAACATATGAGCAATGAATAACGACATAATATAAGTAAAATGTTTTAACATTGTTAAACTTTTCATTGGATTTTATATCTTATATTTTTCAAATCTCTATTCCAAATAAAAGTAGTTGGTTTACTTATATTGATGTTGAACGAACGGTTTTTTGTTATTTAAATGCGATTATTTAGTCCACATCTATATACCTATTGACACATTATTGTATCTATGATTATTTATCTACAATTGAAATCAAAACAACATAACTTGTTAAATCCCTCATACGAAATGCATCAGCCATTTGCATCTAGTGAAAGGTCGTCCTAACTGCATTTGCTCGTCCTTCGGGCTAGTAGGCCAGCAGTGTAAGACTATGTCTCGGGATCATTAGACGTCAGTGGTAAGTCACACTGGTTAAGAAAATTCGTCTTCACATTTTTTATAGGATAGGACTACCGCGTTTCTTGCTATTAAGTTGGAAAAAATCAGGGGTTTTCCACTAAAAGCACACACTCACAAAAGTTTTATTGTGATATACCTGTCTCATATTAAGGGTTTTAGAACCATTTCAACCCTATGATAATTACATTCAGAATGCCGTCTTTATATTGCCAATTAATTAGCTCTTTGGTTTACGCATTGACACAGTGGTGTTATGGTTCTGTTTATGCTACCTATAGAACCCCTCGATGTCATTAAAATCCTAGATTTCATATAAATTATAGTGGTTTAATATTGACGCACATCATTATTCACTTCATTTCAATCATAGAGGTATTATGTAATTAAATAATTAACGGTTACTCTTTATAATTAACGATAAGGTTAGTTTTAGAGTCTCGGTTCACCTGTATTGCGTGTTGGTGTTACAACATATATAGAGATATATTTTTTTATATCTAAGACTAAATACTGTTGCATTACTACACCTGTTGCATTCAAATATTATTTATTTTATTTTTCGATGGAAGTCAAATATGCTGTTTTCAATTACTATCGTTAGAAATATTATTCGAGGATCCGAACGGAAGTGCATTTTTTACAAGTATATTACGTAATTATTATTTTCTATCAAAGAAATATTACTCACAAAAAGTATCAAAATTAATGTGAAACTGACAATAATCAACAGTGACATTAATCACAATGTCGGTTCTTTTGTACGAGCAATCATTTTTATGTTATATAAAATTTCAATAACATTATTATCTCAGCAATAATTATTTTTATGATAAGTATTTCTGCTAGTTGGGCGGCAACCGGAAAATATGGTGTTTTAGATAATTGTAGAAATGCACTAAATAATGTTAAAGACAATGTACATAGGTGACCACAGTACTATTATATGTAAATGTACCATTAAAAAAAAACACATTATAGTCGAACTCCGAAAAAGTTTCGACGACCCTTCAAAACTATATAACTTACTCTTCCTAATTAGAGGTTACAGAAAAAAATATATATTTGACAAACGAATGAAATAGATGTGAAGTCATAAAACCGTGTTGCAATTATACTACTCTAACGGATCCGGGTCACGTCTTGAAACAATCCATTCTGGTGCAGAATTACGCACTCGGAATAAATAGGTAGTTCACTTACAAAATCATTATTAACATACCAAGAACAAGCGAACCGCACTTCCGCCATTTTGATGAAAACTAAATTAACGTATCTCGCTACCCTATGTCTTCTACAATATTAAAAACAAAGGAAGTAGAACGTTTAGAATTTTTCTTTCAATTTTCAGTCATAGTTTCATAAGATGTGACATCCTAAGAGTTTGTAATAATCGTTAAATTAATTATTGATATATATAATAAATAACAGTGTCTGTTACATATTTTGATAATTATATATATACCTTTAAATAGACCAAATAATTTGAATGTGCATTTTCCCCAAAATTTTATGTCACGAATAACCGTACAGAGCAAATAAATAATTTAGTATAAATTAAAATGACTCGTCTATATAATAATAGTAACCTCCATATATTAATTCAATATCAATAGTAATTTTCTTTTTTTTGTTGGTTTTTGGATGTGCATCCTTACGATATATAAAAAACCCTATTAATAGAATTGTCTCAAACTTAAGTAATGAATTAAATGTAGAAGGGATGTATATACTACCCAAAAGATTTAGCATCCAACATTAATTACATTTCACTTCCCACGCAATTTTTTTGTTACCCTAATGTGCATTTAACTGTGTCTTAAATGATGACAGATAGAAAGCACATTCGCTTCGTCCATTAAATGAGACGTTTGCATGAAAATAACTTATTTCCCGTATGAAGTACTCAAGTGAAAGTGGGCATTTGTGCTTAATCGTATTTCATCCACGTATTGTATCACATGCACAAATTACAATGAAATTGGAAATTTAATTATGTGGGACAGCAAACGGAATTATGACGTCACAAGAAGATAGTGTTTTGTTCTAATTGGCATTAATGAATTAATTTGTTGTTATCCCATAAAAATACTGCGTAACACTGTTCATGATCATAATGAGACGCATGTTAATATGTTCTAGAAAGCGTTGATAATTTTAATGTTTCATACAAATTTGCATTTTGGATTAGTTCCTAATAAATGATTTTGTCTTTAATAATGTATATATGCATTATTAAAGACTTATTTATACAGTAAAAAATATACAAGTCAATCACCTTGTACTATTCTTGTATCAGTCTTTTAGGACTCGACCAGTAATTATGTCCTTTCTTATTAACTTCACCATGAATATTGGTATATGGATTCACGACTTTAACTATTTACCTATACCTACCTACCTAAGGTGATAAAAACTATCGCTCCTAAGGATATCCTTCAATTCCTGTCCCTATCAGGTCTAGGAGCGCACTCTGAAACAGGGCTAGCACAAGATGTATGTACGTCGCAGTGCATACGGTTCAAGCACCTGGCAATATCTCAAGCCCCCCAATAAAAAAAAAGCCTAATCAAAATATATGAAGAATTACCATATATTCATAATTATTTCTTTTTGTTACAGTAAGCACGTAAAAATCCACGTACCTTACAAGGTCCACACTATTCACCACCACCACGTCTCTAAGGTGCCATATCCGGTCCATGTACCGGTTGTCAAAGAGGTACAGGTAGTAAAAGAAGTGCCAATAGTGAAGCACGTGCCAGTACCAGTGGTGAAACACGTGCCAGTGCCAGTGATCAAGAAAGTGGAGGTGGAGAAGAAGGTGTACGTGCCAGTACATCATCATGAGCACCACGTTCAGGAGGAACACGGATGGGAAGGCGAGTCTCTGTCGCACGGCTGGAACTGATTATTTCGTTGCGAAAAATTTAGATTAAGGTGAGTTAGTAAGTTTTTTTTTTCTAAATATAAAACCGTATGTCGTTGGAGTAAGACGTTTTGTCTCTACTCTCTCATTTAAAAATACAATATAAAACAAACAAATAGTATGTAGATTATATGAAAATGCAAAATAACAGAATTTTATATTTCTATTTTACATTTTCGTTCAATCATACTTACAATTTTGTTTTACTCTTTTTTTGTGCATATATAATTTGAATGAAAATAGTAACATATTTTTATTCTTTTAACAGATATAAATAAGTACAAACAACATTGAAGATGATAGTAGTCGACGTTCAGTCATCAGTTCATCATCACCGCAGTCATCTAATCATCGTGAAAAAAAAGTTACCACGACCATTGTTGTTGAACCTGTTATAGTTATAAGTACCAAAGAGAGAAATACATGATTTTTTTAAATATGTTTGTTTTAATACTATGTACGATATTATTTTATATTATTATTACCTACACTAAACCTTTGAGAAAGTACTTCAGTACTCCCAAACGTTGGCTGATAGAGAATACTAATAGCATTGTATTGTACATAATTTCAATAAAGTTTAAATAAATGATGAAAATCATAGTAGATTTTATTTACAATGTATAATCATAATATACGAATACTGAAGTATTTATGTTTGTGACGACATTTCCACTTTTAGTATTAGTTTCGATAATTAAACATTCAGAGACGGTCCTAGAAATATAAACTGGTACAAATTGGGAGTGAAACAAGATAGGAAGTATGCAATCTTGGCCTCGTAGTACAAGTGATGCGTGTGCGCAGTTACGACATAACTTACAGTTCTGGTGTCGAACACAAATTGATCATAGCATGATGTAGAGCGTTTTGTGAAATGGTGACAGTTCATTGAATGCTACAGTGTTTTATATGTATTGTGACTTGACCAAGTCAATGAGCAAAAATCGATATTTTTTTATAATTGACAATGGTATAATCTATTATTGTCGTAATGCGCGTACTGTAACTGCATATACTGGCACACGGGGCACATATATTATAATATCGATTACCTGCGATTTTATGTCATATAGACTTAATCAAGATTTCATTCGCCGCATCTTAATATTCATGAATTATTAAGATTGATCTAAGTACATAGTAGTAAGTACGTACATATTAGTCCTTGTATTAAATACAATATCGCTAAAGACAAAAAATATATTTTTTAATATTTCATTTATTATTACAAACTTATTCAAAACAATCACTCATTTATTAGACATATATGCGCTTGTTTTATATACGAAATAAACTGCACCATTTATTTTCGCAATGTATTCAAAATACGACGTGAGCTTAGAGATGTTGTACACGCGTAAATTATGTATGACTTCCGCTTCGGATTGTGTATTGTTTATCAATTTGTTGTTACGTCACATCGCGTAACAGCAATTTTACTCACAAATCGCTCAGAGCTCTGTTTCTTTTAGAATTCATCAAATATCTCATATTTGATGAATTCTAAAAAACAAAATAATATTTTTTTCAATATATCACTGCATGGAATGTAAAGGAAAGAGAAAGCTCCTGTATTCCTCTTTCCATTTTATTCCATGATATGATGGCAGACAATGATGAGAAGACGAGTAGACACTGTGCTAATAATAATGAAGCTACTGTTCGCTATTATACTGATAATTGGTTATCAGTATAGCTGTTAAATAAAAAGGATAAAGGTAATAACTAACAGTCATATTATTCGTAGATGTCTATGAATAACATGACTGTTAGTTATTACTTTTATCCTTTTTATTTAACAGCTTTAAATATCGCCAATTTAAGATTCCACCTCCCTTATGGCATAGCATACAAGTTCGTAAGTAGTGAATGCCATTACGCTGGTCACCTGCGCTTTATAAATGGTCACCTTCCATCCTCTATATAGGCCACGAAGCCCTTCCGTCTTCAGTGTATTGATGATACAGTCAGGTAGGTTTGAGCATTTAGCCAGGTTCCTAGACGTGCTTGGTATTTGGTACCTGAGGTCTTCTTTATGACTCTGTATAGAAGTAATTAATATTTATAGGGCTTTTGAATGCATGCACAATATTTAGCATACGAGAACTTAGGTACTTTGGGGACTACAGTAAATACAAATCCAAAGCCAATACAGTTAAAGTAAAACATTAACTAATGTAGTACTTAAGTATTTTGAATTAAATATTTTTTACGACTTAAAAAACTTATTAGTTTCGTCCATTAAATTCGGAGAGTAAAGCGGACGTTGGTTCCAGCCATTCCTGGAACGCTTATATTCGTGGTACCGTTCACGGGAATGGCGGTTTGAGAATGATTGGAGTTGGTACATTCAGAGCAATGGATAATAATGTCTCAATAATGACTAAGGGTCTGGGTTGAGCCTGTTCCGGCCTTTAAGCATCGCGTGATTCTGCCTGTTGTAGACACGAACGGATCAGGAGTAACCTCTGAGATGGACGGGTCTCTATGTGGGATAAAAAAGGCCATTATGAAAATACTGTAATCGCAGGGACATTACAGTCCCAATCTAAGCAAGCTTTTACTATGATTATGGTAGATAACTGATAGATAAAATTATGTTATCTTTACTCTATTTAGAGCATAGTTACATGCATAAAAATAAATCTAGAGTCATATAAACAGTCGTGATTATAAATGAAAAACATCTTCATTTTGCAAAGACGAAACAATTGAAAACTGTTACAATGCGCTAAATACTAGTTCAGTCGTTACTATATTTCTAAGAAAGGTGGAGATCAATGAGAAATTGATATAAAACCCTCATTATCACAATCACTTTTACGGAACTGCTAAGTAGATATGAATGCTCAAAGTTATATGTACCTAAAGGCTTACATAAAACCGGTAGTCATACTCTGTAATAAGTATAATGATGGCATTTGTAACAAATCATTGGTCGCCCGATATGTCCATTACGTACAGGGCACGTATGTGGTAATGCTATTATTCAATAGTAATCGAGTTTTTAATAATATAAACATTAAAATTATTTCCATCATTGCGAATCGTGACTATGCAGAACTTACTTAAGAGAAAATGCGAATTTCATGTTTATATCTTATATATGTTCGGAAACACTGAATGATTATATACGAAAACTATTTCATCATTTGAAAGTTTATATTATTCCAGTCCAATAATCCAGTAATCAAGTGTAGTATTGAACTCGATGATGTTTTTGATTCCATTCATTAAGAAGCCGTTGAAGTAGTTTTTATATTTGTATATAGATTATTGATATAATGATGCATCCACTTGCTCTAACTGCATTGAAGAAGGATATAGTCAATGAATTTAGGACAGTTAGAAAGAAATGTCACTGGCACTGTTTACATGATTCCAGTTGCGGAGGTATGATAGCACAGATTGAAATGAAATATTATGAATAGTAAAATGCTATTATTGTATTCTGGTTAAGAATATGAGAGAATTTTATGTGAAGTGTAGTGTCGTGAAGATATTGAAAGTCATCTAATGCTGCCTGTTCATTAGTAAATGTATTGGGTGGATGGATCTTAATAAAGATAGAGATATGACATACGTAATCTTTTATCACAAAAAGCAGACGGAGCTGTCAGTAATTTCTTCTAATTTTGAAGCTATAGTTAAAGGAAGGACTACTTTTTAAAATCAGTTAATGCAACAAGTATAATATAATTTAATAACTTGAGAACATTTGCTTTTAATTAAAATAACAGTAACTTACAGCGATTTGAAGCCTCCGTTTAGCCAAATCAAATGGGTACGTGATAGTTTTGGAAACAAAACCGGCTATAGAACCAGCAACAGTGCTGGCCAGGAGAAGGTGCTCTGGTTTGTTTGTGTTTTTGCTTCTATGAATGCAGTTTTCGGTGGTGCAGTCATGAAAATACTTTAGTATTCTGGGCTGGAGGAAACGGAATACACCGAATGAAATACCAACAGACGGGCCCATCTGGAATGAGTAGTGGCAATAAAGTTCTTTTAATATAGGTACTTTTCAGAACACGACATAACCATATATAAATAAATAATTACAAATCAGAATTTGATGTTTATATGGAAATATATAAGCAGCGCCAGCCTTAAAAATAAAAATTAATGGTCAAATCTGTTATTGTTAATAAAAGAGTGTTTTAGGAATTTATCGTTAACGTATCGAAAAAAGACGAACTTTCCTTTTATAAAATAAAGAACTGTCTAGTGAACATAACTGTAATTAATGAAACCTTACTTAATAATTGTTTTATAGTACATATGTATAAACACTTTTAACTGCTTTGTCGGACAAAACAGGATCTACATATAATATTTCATGTAATATGCTCGAATTAACTTATATTCACCTGCAGTAATGATGCACTAAGGCCCTCATAAAAACCGAGGATACCTCCATAGTTATACACCTCACGGACACCATTGAGCAGACCTCGATATTGATCCTTGACTATCATCTGCCTGACTCGTATCACCTCAATCGGAATTACCAGGGTGGCACAACAGCATCCAGAGAATACACCGCAAAAGAAAAATAGATACGGTCTGCAATTTAATATTATAATATGAATAACATTGAAGCAACCCCTCACACACACTAACAATAGAGATATTTATATTATAAAGGCATAATAGAGACTTAAAAAGCCTATTCATTTGTGTATGTTGACTGTAGTGTTATTATTAACTTCAAAATGGGAGAATGTTTTATACGATTAATAATTATCCTTGTAGAAAATGATTCCTCCATAAGAGTGGCGATGATTCTTCTCAATCAGGGGCACAGCTGGCTGTGAGGTTGTTTACTCGATTTACATTGCACAGATAAAACTATCAGTCTCCCCGAAGAATATATATATATGACGTATGATATATTATTATTATTAATTTTAGGTGGTGTATCAGTTCATGGTAAATATTTATACTAAACAGCACAAAACTGCCCTTACATTTTTAGATATGCTCCAGGTCCAGAGTGATATACGAGCAAGCGAGCGAAAAACGCATATAAAGTTGCCAATAAAAATCCGGATAGTACTATCTGGCATAGTTCTTTTATTGGCATCCTTTAGTTTACAGGCAGAACAGACACTATACAATACAGTACACGAGACATGAAATTTGAGTTTGTTTTTAGAACCTACCTAAGTACCCAGTTCAGTACATGGAATTATGTAATTTGATTATGAATTTTTTTTTCCAACTAATCTAATCTTATATGCCATATTAGAGTAATTAGAAAAAAAAATCAAATAAAATAAAAACACATTAGTAAATCAAAGCGACTATATACATTCCGAGCAAAGGCAAATACTAGCGCGCTCTACTTTTGAAGTAGCGTCATCTAGTAACACACTAGTGTACTAAATTTACCTCACATCTTAATATTCCGCCCAATGAGGAGAAACTCATGTTTGTTCTATGAAAATGTGATGTTAATAGGACATTAATGACATAAGGACATTTGTGGCCACTTATGCTCGTTATATTGTTTATAACTATCTATACCATCCAGTACGGTGGCCTAATTCAGTGGAGAAGAACTGGCAAATTGAAAATAATTATGTCATCTTAATTATCACTTTCGATAGTGTAATGTAGTATTATTATTTATGAGGAATATTGTTTTATTTTATTCTTTTGTTGCCTACTCTGATAATCTGAAGCAATTATGATTCTATGAAATATTGCTATTTCTATACATTAGGCATTAGCGTTTATAAATTAATTTATGCTCAATACAATACTTAATTAATTACTATCTATATATATTACCTATTATTATTATTTAATAAATATCACCATAAATTCAAGCTTACTGTTTGTCTCTGTCGTGGGATAGACCAGCAACGTATTTAGTTGTCAGTTCGTACATATAGAACTGAGAACTTACTGATAATATCGAGTGAATCTGAAATTATTACGCCTCTTTAGAAAAGTATCAAATAGATAATTTTATACAAAAATACCTTATAAAGATAATTAAAGCTGAAAGCCAATTGCTGACCCAAGTATTTTCAAAAGTCTGGTATACAATAGGCATTACTAACCAAATAGATATTTAAATAAGAGGAAATTAGTAGAAAACCAACATAGAAATATCTGATTATTAATATTATATACGCGAAAGTGTGTGAGTACGGATGGATATTTGTTACTCTTTCATTTAAAAACTATTTTTTGATGAAACTTTAATATAGCTTATACATCAGAATACATATAGGCTATAAATTTCACGCGGATGGATTCACGGGCATAATCATTTACTAATAAGAAGGTAAATAGACTATAAAAATAGGGTACACAATTGGTAAATAGATATTGTAACATCATAATCGTTATTGTCATTTTCCGTGAGCTCTTTGTATAGGTATTATTATTGTATGAATATCCAACCTGTCCAAGATTATGACCAGCCCAGAAAGCTGTAACGCCTTCCTCTTTCAATATCTTCCTGGTAGTACGAAACCAAATCTTTTTTTTGTCCAGTGCTTGCATTTTCTGTAGTTGTGTTCTTAATTTTATTATATCAAGAGGCTGAGTTATGAACCTAGTCGCCATTCCAGATATGCAACCTGCTATGAGTTTCTGATTAGGGGTCATTATGTCGTCCTTGTGATAACCAACCATTGACACATGGCTGCTCTTCTTCGTTCACAGAGCAGTATTTTTTAAGCTCATAAATTTGATAGTTCATTTTTTTTGTTTTATTTATCCTTTATAGGAAAGGCAAAGAATCTAAGCCCATACAGCCATTTAATTCATTTTAGATTAAAGTCTATGATAGATGTGACACGGCGGGTATTCTGCTGTCAACTATCAATTTTTGTAGGCTATTGAAATAATAAGGTTATATTACATTGCAAAAATGAAACCACTAAGGAAATAACCACTACGAATTGATACTAAAAGATAAGATAACTATTATTGATAATCATAACTTATAAAAATGTATCATAAATATAAAATAACTGTACTTTTATATTTTCAAATTACCTTAAATTTAATTCAATAATATAAGAATTCATACAATTCTTCCGTGAGGAAAAGGAAGAGAAGAAAGAATTAAGCAACTTATGACAGCGGATAAAGTTTAAGATATCAGATATATGAGTGTACTTTCTGCCTAGTCTACAAGCACTACAAGTGACCTACAAAAATTTGTTTTTATATATATTTACGTTACATTCATATTTTCTATAGCCTATGAACTAAACATATTTGTTCGAACATAAGAAAAGGTACGACATATACTTAACATGTTCATTATTTAGGAACCAATAATAACAGGAAATAACTATCGAACAATATATGAGAATAGACATGGAAGCAATACATGAATGGAACAAATTACAATAAAGGAAAAATATATGTATTAAAAAAATCTTATTTTCATATTAACTGATTTTCATTTATTTTAAATCCTACATGTTTTTAGCTTATGCCAAAATTATTGAGGTAACCTATCACTGTGCCAACTAGTTAAACTATGACTTCATGTATGTTCGAACCTCAAGCGGTGCTAGATTAAAGTTGTATCGGTGGGGCGGAAATTGGTTTCTAGCCGCTCTATAAATCCTTCTGCAGTTTTAGCTGATCTTTTGCAATGGCCTCCTTTTTCATGTGGTGAATCTGTAAAGAAAAACAATATAGTAGTTAAAAAAGGTACAGTTATGTCCTTTTAATATGGGTTATTCTATGAAATTCGTGAGTATTTGTAGTTACATTACAATACACTAATAAACAGACATAAAGATAGCCATAAACGAAAGCAATAAAAGGTCGTTTTGGATTGGTATCAATTACGTATCTAGTATATATATGTATTTGATCTCGATTCGTCCAGTGGATACTCGAATATTTTAATTAACAGATTGTCGCGCCGTACCGGCACTCCACTAGAGACAGAATTTTATATCAGATAAGGAAATACGAATGTGGGTATTGCCCATATATGAACTATACATATATCTACGCAAGCTTATAATGAAATGTGATAAAAAGTTAATTGACGGCCATGATCGCTTCGTACTGACAAGAATTTTGGGTCTTTCATTGTTGTTGTTTTAAAATTCGTCGAATTCGGACAGGCCTATTATACCTTTAATTATTCACAACAGAGTCATACAAACTAACCTGAATTACTTTATTGTCAACAATTATCCACTGTTACAGGAAAACTCTGAGAAAGTCCTGCGATTCTGTACAATAATTTACTTTGTGATTTGAGTTTGTGTATTAAACTTAAACAGACCTACGCACTGTACTGCTTCTATTAATTATAGCAACTATTACATATAGCAGGACTCAATGTCCTCAAAAGGCTTCCATAGTTCATATAGTATACTGTACCTAGCAGCTCTAGTGACAATAGTAAAAACTCTTGAACTTTGCAGAAACATTGACAATACCAAACGTTGTAGTAATACTCACAAATATTTACAGTTAATAATTATAATGATAGTCTATAATTTGAGCTATAAGTAACCCGAAATTAAATAAATAAATAATAATAATTAGGTACATACAGAGGAACATCTGTGTATGGCCACAGGAGAAATTGTTTTGGCAAATGCTTCTTTCTGTCTATCTGGACGGAGCTGACCGTGAAGATAGATACTGTAGTGAGTACATTATTCTGTTGTGTAGAACAAATGATGAGTGCTTTTTCTTTAATTACCGATATATGTCGTGATTAAATCGTAGATTCGATCTTAATTCTCGAAAGTAAACATTTCGTAAAATGTGTCACCATTTTACATGTTTGAGCACATAACATGATATGGCCTCACTAAATAAACCAAACATTGTCAGGTTTGATATATTAACAAATAAACAAACAAATGCATACAAATATCGTCAATTTTTATGAGATCTGACATCTAGAGCAGCCAATATTTATCGAAATGTTCTTATGTTGTATATTAAAAAAAATGAGAACGAAACTTGCCAAAGAAAGTTCATTGTAATTAAAAAAGATACATAATAACTGTAAAATATATAATGTACCAATTAATAATTGTAGTTATTACTATAGAAGTACATTTGTTACAAATACTTATTATCTAGTACGGACATAAGTCGGTAATCAGATTAACGAAAGTTGAACATTAAGTGACATTGCCCATAACAGTTGCATTTCATGATATACATGTGTATATCATGAAATGCAACAATTTCACCAAAAGGTCGATTACTTTGTGATGAATTTCTGCAATCTGGTCACGACATATACATCGGCAGGTACGTCGGATATCGAACCGATGGACTGACGGACGGTTATAATATAAACGTTGTGTCGCAGTATTGGACGCGTTGACCCGGGTGTCGTGATGTCAGAACCGGACAAAATTAAGGTAGGATATCTTAATTACACAATTACAGAGAATCGTCATTTATACTAGTGTAAATAACTACTATGTATATTTGAGTAATAACAGTTATAATATATTTGGAATATTACCTGAAAAAGCAATAAAAAAAATATAAAAACTAAAATATATTATTAAAAGGTTCTGAAGACACTGGCAGCGTTCCCCGTAAAATTAAATATTATGCATTTTGACATTCAATGTGATCGATTGCTGCAATATTAAATACTTGGCCGGGCATAATGTCGCTGAAATTGTAAAGAGAACATTGCCGAATGGCAATAATCATTAACTTACTGGTAAATGATAGGTCAATATTTAATGTTACATAATTTTTTACACAGTTATTTCACATGTAATAATGAACGGAATTAAAAATAAGTGATGCCAGTATATGATATGAAGTAATAAATTATGCATTTCACAAAAGCTGAAAAATATAAATATAATCTTTGTCACAGTTACTTGATTATTATCAGAGGTATACGTAGATTATAAAAAGTCATCTGCGTAGGTACTCCTCTTGTACCGCATGGGTGGGTATCACGGTGTGATATGATAACGTGATGTCCTTGATGCTATTCTTATATATAGGCGACAGTTACTAGTTACCATTAGGTGGGCCATTACAATTACATCAAAAATAGCAAAATAGTACAATAGATATTACAATGGATTAATACAATTGGATACAATGGATGAATGGATGAATGTGAGATATGAGACCACTCATACTCGTAGATTGGAATTCCTTAAAACTAGAGTCCTTGTTGTTACCTAGTAATAGTCAACGCAATATTCTTAAATAATATTGATTGTAAGTGGTCTTGGACTATTAATTTTGAATTAATGGTACTATTGTTCGTTCCCTATTTGTCAATGGAATTATTTGTAATCATCGCGTGCTTATTGTATTGTTTATATCTTCGAGAATTGTAATAGTAACCATTGACACAATTGTCTATGGCACGAAGACAATATTTACAAAAAAAAGATACTCAATTCATCCATGTAAACAAAAAAATTTATGCGTGTGTGATTTTTTTGCCTTTCATAAAACGTTAGGTACTTCAAAAGTCTCCGAGATTATCATCTCTTCATGGTATAAGCATCTAAATACATAGTAACTTCTTAATGTTTGTCATATTAATATAAGTACTAAAACTTTAATATTATTGTAATAGTATTTATAAATTAAAAATACTTCATACTGTACTATACAAGGATTTAAAGCATAAATAGATTTTTGAAATATACTACACACAAACATATATAGTACTGCAGTGTAGTATACCATATATGTTTATACATACATATATGTAGTAGTGTTTGGGAATTTGATTGTTAGTAATGTGGACTAGTGATACCAGTGCTAGCAATGTACCATGTCAAATAGACCTCCACGCGATTTCCCTTGGAAATGATCGTGATAAATTCTTGGTGAATTTGCCATGATGGGTGAATTGATCTGACCACACTTATCTTAACATACTCCAATAGTGCTTCGCCAGCGGAATACGTTAGGCCAGGCTAAAGCACCATTCCATTATCATCCTATAAAAAAAGTAGTGTACGATAATTCAAGATTTTGTTTCACAAAAGTCTATATTTAGCAATCCTTTAAATAAGTATCATATAATATAGAAACAGCAATGAAATGAACGCCAGTGATTCTAATGGATACAAAAATATGTTGTCTTCATTGCCTTAGTACCATTATAGTCGGCTGTCATATTTTTCCCCTGATCTCGATCGGGTGTGATTTTTCATATTGCTCTCCTATATTATATTTTAGTAAATCACAATACCTACTTATATATTTAGGTACGTAGAATAAACATACTCGGTGGGATAGTGGTTTTATCATACAGTATGACTTTTTGTTATTGTTTGTCTGTGTGTCTTTTCTTTTTCTATACTACATACATACTCTTATTGAAACGTCGCGTGATAAGTTTGCAATTAATGACGTCCATATTACTTTATTTGACATAAACAAAGATTTTAGACGATTAAAATGGCTGTACAAAGTGGGTACCTAATGAATTAAAAGGACAGTGGGCAGCGCCAATAAATATTTGTATAGACTAGTGGCTCGATTACATTATGTACTCACCTAATGACCGCATGGCTAACAACAAGTTTTACGATGGTCGTATAAGACAAAAGGAATTTATAAGTTTTCGTTATAACTTAATCGCTTAGAAACTATCAATAAAATAATGCAATATTATTTATTACATTTATTAATTACTCTTGTCATTTTATTAGTTATTCTTTTTACTTCTGTGACCCACCACTTCCTGTGTCACCCTGTATTGGCTATTAACATCACGCTATAACCAATAGGAGCAGAGCTGCAGTAAAAAATGTTGCAAAGACGGCGAAAGTTTGGCGCAGACGAAGTAAGACGGGTCATCTAATAAATAAATAATAATTTATTATGGACAACAGAATACAGATATACGACCAATGAAAACATCAAGACTGTTATCCTGAGTGGGGTAATCAGAGGCGCTGTCAATATAGACGGTTGTGATGTACGCAACACTTGAGATGCCCACGTTATATTTATGTACCTATACATATAGATACGTTACTCGTAATATTTGAATTTAACGTGTCACGGGCGAACCTACTGCCCTTTCTCATATATTAATCCGGGAGACGGCGGTTTGTTGTTTTTACCTGTGTCTTCTTCACCGGAGAGTCAGATAGTTAAATTGACATCCATTTATTTTGGTATTGGCCAGATTTGATATTATTACTATTTGGGTGTATGTCGTGGTAGAAAACCATTACACCACGAACGCTCCTATTATATTTATTGAGACAATAATAATATCATTTAGTTAATACGTGTAATTTGTAATATTTTGTACTACAATATTCTATTAATCCTTTAATGAAAGTTTACATAAAGTGCAATCAGTGCAGCCTTGTTTTTCAAAAGCATACCTTGGATACTAAGTGTAAGTTGGATACTTGAATTTGATAAAGGTTTTGTTTATATGTTAGATAATACAGAGATTTATAGGATGGACGTAGCCATCTAAGAAGTATATATGTATTTCTTATATCGTATCTTAGATGCCCACTGAATACATAAATATTATTTTTTACCTACTTATGAAACATTTAATTTACAGTCTTTACGCAGTACCCGTGACATGCAGTCGACTGGATTTCCCTCGCCAGAATGTCGGTCCCCGAGACTCTTGCCACCAATTCTAAATGAAGCAGCACCTTATTCTTCAGGTTAGAACGTACATTTCATATAGATTAGATTGGATACTACGAAAAACAGCTCTCTTTCAGTATGAAAAGGGCGTTATTTGTCTTTTATTACGTGTGGTAACAGCATGTTAACTCTAATATAGAAACTAAATTTATTAAGTATTAAATAGTATAAACAATTTTGTAAATGAAACATTGAACTAAAATTCCATAAAAATATTAACTCACTCATTTAGCTCATGGTAGTAAAATACATGGTGATTTCCATGACGGAGCCTTGTTTTGGAGATTGACCTGACACAGAACATAGTGAACATATAGTATACAATGTCGATGCAGAACATCTACTCTTCCCTTTATATGGATTTAAAATAATAGTTTGTTAACAGTGTTTATTAATTAATTTTAATGAACTAATTTTTTAATATTTTGCCCTTCAGGTGTTCACTCTCCAATAGATCATTCTCTGAGGCTTTCTTCAAGCAGATTATGGTCTCGGTATCATCGGGGATGTGTCGCCAAAAGTTCTGCTTTTATGGATTGGTCTGCTGTCAAAAGTCAGGAAAAGAAAGGTGCAGCATATTGTGAGTTAAATATCTCAATCTATATTTAAAAAAATGAAGCCCTATATTTGCTTTTGCGAAGCTCAAAATACTCAACTTAACTCGCTTTAGGAAGATACGCATTCAAGACATATTAAGATTATGTCCTAATACCATTTTTATTCCTTATTTTAGATAAGGATAAACTTTCTTTGGGAGCTCGCAAAGATCCATACAAAGGTAAGTACTGACTGCTTGTCTAACAATATAATATAATAATGTAATATACACTAATATTTTTGCTAGTGATATACGGTTTTCCAGTAAACAATGTCTATCGTAGTTTTTATTTAATACTACCGTATTTATGATGTTAAACTATTCTACAAAAATCTACTACGATTGACTTAGATATATATCTCATTATAGATTAATTTGTCTGACGGAAGAGTTTTCTTTTAATATTTTAATCAAATCAGAACAAGTACAGATACCGGTAAACAAATTCATAAATTATTTTGTTATCTGTTTAGACGAAGAAGAGGCCGCAGTTACAAATTATTTGAATCGTAACAAACAGTTTTTGGAAAATTACGTTCTTGAATGTGTTCCTGTTGACGAGATAGAAATTTGGCTCCAGCTAAAGTTAAAATCGTCTGTAGTAAGTATTATATTCTATATATTATTGATGTTAACAAATAAAGTGTTGTGCAGATATGGTCGTCGTTGCTTAGTTATCTTCCGACATATACATCGAATAATAATCGTGGGTTTGAGTGTAAATGATTTAAAGGTCTACTTGTAGCTCTTTAAATTTCTAAAGTGTCTAAGATGTTAGATTAGATAAATGTAATTATATAAACAATTATATCTAAATATTTTATTACAGATTAACACACTAACAAATAGATCAAAATCTAAGCACAAGCATAAATTAACGATCTCGAAGCAGAAAATAATAGCGGTAAGTTATATTATAGTAATTAAATATTTTAAAGTAACTAATTAAGGGAAATGTAGATGAAAAAGATTGGAAATGAGAGATAGAGAAAATTATTTGGTATTATGTGTTACTTATTATGTCTGTGGAAGATAATTTTAACATATTATATATGTAATGATAGATATATAAATAATTTAAATTATACATAGTGTTAAAATAAAACGAACAACTAAATTAATTCCAATTTCACTATCTCACAGTCTAAACTTATTTCAGTTGTATCTTGTCTCCTCTCTTATTTTAATTGAATTTAATATTACCTGCTAATATCAACTGCTTCTACAATTATTGCGAATCAATTACCTTCAAACCTTTGAGATATTTAAAACATTTCAGTATTTTTAATTCAGGAACTGCGGCAAATTCTTCAAATCGATCTTACAGAACAAGATTTAGTGGTAGAATTGGCAAGAAATATTGCTAATGTTGTCTGTGTTGATGCATACCGTATTTACAAACTGTCGTCCGACCATTCAGATGCTGTACAGTACTTTGTGTTTGATCATACCAAAGTAAGTGCAGTTATTTAGACGACTCTTTTTACATCTGCATGTTTTTCTCAAATAAGTTTTAATTTTTGCATTTAAACTTACGATTGCTTAATTATGTATTCTATAAGTAGATTATGTAATATTTCACTAGTTACTAACATGTAAAACTTGTATCATTATGTATACATATCTTCAGATTATATATCAAGACTAGATTTATTGATTTAGAATTTTGGGATGGGTCTACGTATGTTTGGTTTTTGCTTTCTCCTATTACTCGCTTGAATTCTCATAGTTCTGGAAACCTTTATATAGTCATATACATACTTAATTAAAATGAGACAAAAGCCTGTTTCTATCTTAAGTAGTATAATAAAAATCAGTTTACTATTTCACTGCCGATGTATTAAGTGACAAACATACTAACATATTACCAAAAAATTACTTCAGAGGAATTTTAATAATAAATAAATAAATGTGATATAAACGCAGTTCAAAGCAGGCCAGCGGCCCTACTACAGTCTGACACGGGCAGCTATGGATGTATCCTTAATTATGAAGATAGCCAAAACTGGCACAGTCACTCGTCTCTCAGGCCAGAATAAACCGATGGTATGCCTGGACGATCCACACTCTTTTTTCAGAATGTCTAAATTGAAGAACATGGTAAGAAATATTGATACAGAACAATATTTTTTAAACACTGAAGCTTATTTATTTCCTACTGCCAAGCATAGGGTTGTCTTTACATTTTCCTACTATCTTAGGTTATCTTTACATATCCCTATCTAAAGCTCAGTCCGGCTGTGTCTATCCAACAAATACACCTAAATTGTCGATGGACTTAAACTTTAATCGAATATGCATCTATCTATAATTCAGATCCAATCCATGAAATTTCTTGAGTGTAATTTAATGCCATGTTTAAAAATAATTTGGTATTGCCTTTTTAAAATTATTTTTAGAAAGATGCTAATCACGTCATGTATCAACCAATTCTGAAATCCACCGGTGAAATAGGATATCTAATAGAAATGTGGAGATTGAAGGAACAATTTACAGATTTGGAGGAAGAGATCAGTACTTGTTTTTTAATGTGGGGGAGTCTGGCGATGCACTATTGTGGGCTGTACTTGGCGAAGAGGAGGGAGAGGAACATGTCGGATTTCTTATTGGACGTAGTGAGGTAAAAGTATAAGTAAGCCAAAGTTACGGGTCAGAAATATTAATTTGTGCTTGTTTCTATGTGCTAATATATATTATGGCGTTTGTACATTTGATAGTGAAAAAATCAGGTTTTGTTTCAACTGAAATATCTGACTCTCTGGTGATGGAAACAACAATAACAAACATTAATTCATTTTAATTTATCATATTTTATTTTTACTCAGTTTATAAGTAAGAGTTTTCAATCCGAGTATATTGTGCCAATAAATACAAAATTAAAATTTTATTCAATAATATCCACTTCAAATGAGGATTAATAGGAATACAAAGCATATGGGAATAAATTGTGTCCTATTATACAATATCGATATTTTGGGCATACAACAATAAGCTTATTGTTGTATACCCAAAATATTTCCAAATGTATTCATACCCAAAGTATATGCTTATTTTTAAGATAATTTTAATTTATAATCGTTTCCAGAGCTATATTTGAAGAGATGGTATCACTGGATCAGCTAATAAAAAGAATTTTAGAGTTTGCTCAAAAATTGGTAAACGCTGATCGTGCATCTCTGTTTTTGGTGGACTATAGAAACTTTGAACTAGTTTCGACAGTTTTTGATCTGAAATATGAACCCGGTCAGGATAGAGATATGGAGAAGAAGGAAATTAGAATGCCAATCAATAGAGGTATAGCGGGCCATGTAGCGTTGTCAGGAGAAACTATGAACATTCCTAATGCATATTTAGACAATAGATTTAACAGGTATTTATTTATACCAAAGATTACATTTAGCTATGTAGTTAACAATGGACATTATGGAAATCCTTTGTTAGTAAAAATTGACTATATTAACAATTTGACCTAATCAGATTGGAAAAATTAAATCACAATATTTTTCAGAGAAGTTGATGAAGCAACTGGATATAAAACTATAAGTATCCTCTGTATGCCAATCAAAGTGGAAGGTAAAGTGATTGGAGTCGTCCAAATGGTGAATAAAAGAAATGATGATAATTTCGGACATGACGACGAAGTGGCCTTTGAAATTTTCTCCACTTTCTTTGGATTGGCACTTCACCATGCTCGTCTTTATGATAGAATCATGAGGAAAGAACAAAAGTACAGAGTTGCATTAGAAGTCCTGAGTTACCATAATACGTGCAGGGAAAATGAAGTCCAGGCAATGCTTGGCGACAAAGATCATCACCACACAAAATTAAATGATTTTTCTTTAGATCCCTACAAATTCAATGAATTTGAAAAGTGTAAATCTGTTATTACTATGTTCAATGATCTTTTCAACATATCCAAGTTTGATATTGTAACCGTTACAAGGTTTGTCCTAACTGTGAAAAAGAACTATAGGACAGTGCCCTACCATAATTTCGATCATGGTTGGGCTGTAGCACATTCTGTGTATGTCATTTTGAAGAATGATATTAGGAAGCGTTTTGATTATAAAATGGTAAGTGGCTTGCATACTTATTCTCAGCAAAGTAGCAGTTATGTATAAAGTTATCTGAATATGCTGCGGTCTTTTTTCTATCTATTTCCGTAGATTTTTCATTAAGTGATCTGTCAGATCATTATATGTCGTTGCTTGGGCATTAAAAATATCACTATATTTTTTTACTACAGAGATTAGCATTATTCGTCGCATGTCTCTGCCATGATCTGGACCATCGTGGGTACACAAATAAATATATGAGTGAAATCGCTTCACCCTTGGCCGCTGTATACTCAACATCTACTCTGGAACATCATCATTTTAATATTACCGTTAACATTCTTCAGCAGGTAACTATTTTATTAATATAAACTGTACGAAAACAACTAATTTAGAACTATGGCAGTATATATAAAAAAATGTAAAAAGTCTAAATTAATTCTCAAAATTGAACATGGCTTAATTGAAGGTTTGTTCATATAGGAAGGACATAACATATTCTCTCATATCTCGAGTGAGGAGTACAAAGAAATCTTGAGCTATATACGACAAGCGATATTGGCCACTGATCTTGCAGCTTTTTTTCCAAATCTAGAGAAAATGAAGGAGCTCTACAAAGAAAATGCCAGTGTTCATTTCAATTGGAACATACCAAGTCATCGGTAATATTGTCCTTTTAGCTATCAGATATTTCTTATACCTATCTTAATATTTTGGCTTTAATTGACCAACCATTTAAGTATATCACTAAGACTTCATTTAAAACTTACTTTGTTACTGTAACGTAACTGAAAATTATAATTTCCGTATAAGTTAAAGGCAGCATTTGTTTTGCTAAGCGATAATATAAATTACAAAACGCCTGTTGGAATAATAGACACGAAAATAGTGTGCGGATGTTTTGCTGCAGCGAATTATGAGAACGCGTGTTTTTACATATTTCCATTTTAGAGTTATGATTAGGAAATACTTTAAAACAGAATCTAAGCTAATGTTAGCGAATTATGTGAAATTCTTGATAGAAGTAATAGACAGATTCAATAACTTTGGTCTAAATTATCAATTTTATTATATTACAAGTTCTTTTAGAGCTTATTCACCTGATTAGATATGATAAATACATTTTGGTTTTTAGTTATATTTTACTTAAATCCATTTATTTATTTTTAAAGTCGTATTTCTTTACAAAGATTGTGTGGAAGAGAATTATAATTAAAAGGTTTCTATTATGCATTATTATTTCGGCAGCTGTCTCCGCATGAGGTAGAGGTACCTTGTCGTAATAGTTAAATTTCAAATACTTTTAATTCCAGAGATCTAGCCTTGGCTATATCGATGACAGCATCAGATTTATCAGCATCAGCTAAACCTTGGGAAGTTCAAATCAAGACTGTAAAGGTTATTTTTGAGGAGTTCTATGACCAAGGTGACAAGGAGTTAGCAGCAGGAAGAGTACCCATTGCAATGATGGATAGGAACAAACCTGAAGAGCAGCCAGCAAGTCAGGTAAATTTAAAAACTATTACTTTTCCGATATGCGAAGCTCGTTTTCGCGTCTCGACATCTAATACTATACTTATTTAAGAATATTTTTTTAAATAATATATTTATTCAATTCCTTTATTTTATTTAAGGTCTTCTCTTATTCTCTTCATAATTACCAATTGAAAAAACGAACGACTTTTTTTTTCAATTGGTAATTATATATATATATAAATATTTATATATATATATATAATTACCAAATGTAAAAGTATAAAGTCGCCAGTGAAATTGCCCCATTGTTACAAGATAAATGTGAAAAACATATAATACACACAGTCTACATTCACTCGCTTAGTTTTAGATAGAAATTAAGGATTATTTCTGTTTACGCCGATAACATGATTTTTTATATTTTCAGGTTGGTTTTCTAAGCCAAATTTGTATTCCATGTTACACAATTCTGTATAAAATATTACCGAATACGAAACCAATGTACTTAATGGCTATGAAGAACTTAATCAGATGGAAAGGACGAGCTGAAAAAGTTACAAGAAAATTAGAAAATAGAGAAAATAAAAAAAAGGATATGTCTATAGAAGACTCACATTCAGAAGACGACGTAGAATCAATATTCGATGAACATTTAAAAAAAGATGCAGTAACTTTGTCAGATAATATGAAAGAAGATGCTGAAGAAAACGATAATAGTGTATTAGAGGTTAACTGTAAAGCAGAAGACACGTGGCAAGCTAATCCTACTACTTGGGATGAAGAAGATAGTGCAATAGATGAAAATAGAATAAGCAAAGGTATTTGGAAATATATAGCGGAAACCACAGATGAAGAAAGTGTGGTAGTGAAAAGACAACATCCCTAAATAGGTTTACAGTATGAAAAATGTAATTAAGTTGATAGATAAAATATTATATTGCACATAACTTCGCTGAAATTCTGAGTTTCAGTCAAATTTCTTTCACAACATTGATAAATTGATTACATATTTTAATATGTAAACAATTTATTTGGATCTTTAACAATTTATTTAAGTCTAAATTTTATATATACTACAGATCACGTAGGCATATATAAAGTGCAAAATAAAACATTGAAATTGAGAAAAATTACATGTGTTAATATTTATTATAAAATAGGTTTTGCTTCTAGAGACATAACTCTAATTTTTGAGGTAATCTCTATATCTAGAGATTATGATGGTTAAACTGGCTTTCTGGACTATATAAAGTTTTCTAAAATTCCCGATAGTTTCAAAGTAAATTTGACTTCTTTTGTTTTTACTAATAAGTGAAAAATAAATTATAAGAGTATATTCTTGTTAGAGTGTAATAAATAATATCGATTCATAAATATATATATTATTCTATAGTAACGCCACCTTTGCCAATATTGTAACCTTTTATATCATAAAAGGATAAGAAAAATCTGGAAAAGAAAACAGAAATTTTAAATTACATACTTTTATAGTTAATAACAATAATAATAAAATAATGTGAACTTACTCACATATATTCTAATTTTGGTAAGATAAAATTTATGTATATAATTCATTAGATTTAATTTTACCAGAAGTAAATTTTGTATATGTATATATATTGTACGTTGGACTTTATTTCCGCATTTAACCTTTGGTTCAGCCCGTTATGCGTGTAGAGCCTAGAGTAGACAGCTAAGCTCCACCAGAAAGAGAAGCCTCTTGGTTTTTTCACAGGCTTCACGAAGCGATTTCATCGTGGATTTGTGTACGTTGTGTGGATACTCCAAGCATTCTAGAACTTGTGAATGATGGAAGGAGAGATATTGCAGTTAAATAACAGAGGTATAACCTCTTTGTTCTCTGCAATGGTCACGTATTTATGCCAGGAATCGCTAAATAATGACGTGTCTCTGATGTGGTATTATTATATATGATGTAAGGAAAAAATATCATCAGGTGAGCTGAAGTCACATAAAAAAAAATTTGATAGCTCTGAGCGTTTATAAAGAAAACTAACGTACCTATTGGGTGAAATTCCCAACTCCTTTTCAATAAATTCCGACACCTCCTTTATGATGACTTTGTTTTCTATTGGTCCAAGATGCCCGATTGATTCCAAGGTGGCCACTGCACCGGGAGATGTAGACTCGCCCCCGAACGATACCTGACAGTCTCCTGATATGATGCATAGGAATTTCTGCAAATGTTTTATTATTTATGTACAAAATTATTATTATTATTTATAGTAATTTATTTTTCAAATAGTATTTAGTAGTTTTTAAACTAAGAAATTTATTACAAGCGGCCGAATCAAACACTTCTTCATTTTTCAAATTCAAAATATTTATATATTCAAAATACTCCTTTTCGCTTCATCATAGTCAGAAAAACATCCTCTATTTCTTCACTTCCATATTGTCATAAGATTGTATAAACACTGATAGTCTTTTTTGTAGCCTATCCAACGACGACCATTGGGCCTTTATTCTTCTTATATTACTTCAATTTATAATATTATGTTTACGTTTTAATTAAATTATTTTTATTTATTTTTTCAGCCCCATGTATTCATACTGACTAACATAAACACTTTTTAAGGTAAATACTTACACTATATACATAGAATGTTACGTATTTATAACCATTTTAGTTTATGTAATAGTACGCAATTAATAATACGCAATTAGTAAATATAAAGAATTGTTATTAAAATTACTCACATCGACAGGCTTTTTCACGACTCTTGACAATAATGGTAGGATTTTGTCGACAAAATCTGCCGGAATCTTGCTTTTTGGTAGATTCGTTAAAATCTTAAGACACGGCATTGTGTATTCGGTGCAAACTGAGATATGAATGCGTTTGAGCAGTCACAATTATGATACAATATATTGATAACTACAATCAAATTGTCAAGTGTTTAACGCGGGTTATCGTATTGGAAAATGTTCAATGTGAAATAATAAAAATAAAACATTAAGAAGTAATAGTTAATATAGATAACAGTGGAGTTATAACTTGGCGTTATTCGGCGACTATTATATATAACGTCATTATTATGTGTATATAGGGAATAGGATTGTTAATATAATATTCAACTTACACGTATCTTACTAATATTATAAACTCGAAACTTTGTGAGTATGGATGGATAGATCGATTGATGGATGTTTCTTACTCTTTCATGCTTCAACTACTGAACAGATTTTGATCAAACTTTACAATAAAAATCTGACACAGTGTCGGAATAACACATAAGCTATAATTTTCATGCGAGTGAAACTGCGAGAAAAGCTAATCCTGTCTATGAAAGCAAGGAAGCAGCGAGGGGTATAATAAGTAATGAGCACTAATGGCCCCCTTGCTAACAATGTACCATGTTAGGTCTAACTTCCCAGGGTTTCCCCTGGAAGCTATTATGGTCAATTCCTGGTGATTTCGCTACGAGAGGCTGCTACACTCCATGTTCACCCCATCATCATGCAATAGTGCAAAATAATTCAAATAATAAGTGCAAAATAGTTCCGTTAACACCCATTTAAAAAATAAAGAAGCCGATCCGTCCTGAATTCAAGCGTTTTTACGATGCAACATCATTTTTCTCCAGTTAAGGCGTATGGTTGAATGACGTCCTCGTTGTGTAAATAAATGTCAATCGTGACCTTATATTCAATGATGCGTACGTATTTACCATCCATCATAATCGACAACCGAATCTATAGATAAACAACTGATAAAACTTTACACGTTACATAACCGATGTTAAGACACTCATTTTCTCTACTCTCATCGATATGAATAAGAATAGTACCCATTTGTATCGAAGCATGTATATGTTAAATTGATTGAAGATGGCAATATTTATAATGACCAGGCACTATAAATAGTGACAAATTATGCGGCATTGCGGCAGGTCAGGAAACTTTTAATAATTATTCAAATATTATTAGTGGCAATATTAAGTATCATAAACATTGCTAAAAGGCTTTTGAGAAATTTCCTAATTACATTACATTATTACTTTACATTTGATGTTAAACATCCTGGGTCTTCGATAGTTTAACAAAATAACTCCGTACTCCAGAAAACAACCAAGTTCTGTATCAATATAAAAAATATTAATTGTAACTGAAATGTATATTAAAACTTATTAAGTGGTAATTTGACATTATTAGAGGCGAATTATTCGATAAAACTAATTTATTGTTTAAGTTTCCTGAACATTTTGTTTCCTTTAAGGATATTTTTGAAATTGTATGGATCAATTTCTTATTGCACTTTCATATATATTTAATATATATGAAATATTTTGTTGTAGGCAATGTGAATAATGGCGTATTAATCACTTTGTATGTGACATAAACATCGATTTCTACATACATTGACCGTTTCAGCGCTCGATTCTTAGATTTATTAAAGCATTATTTCTCAGTTTGGTGAAGTTATGTAATTGAATATTTAAATATGGAATTCAATAGAAGCGTTTGTATTACAATGAATAATTTGTTTGCTGACATGGATATGGTATTTGATGAGCATAGTTGATATACCTGAGTGATATTAGTCGGTGACTTTACATAAACCTGTATAAAAACCGTGATAGGTGAAGGTTCAAAATAGTATAAAAAATAATTTTATATTATTTTGAACCTTCGATATATAATTATTAAAGATGTCCCATATATTACACGGAATTAACACATTAGTATGCCCTAACATAATCAAGTACAAATATAAAAGAATAATCGTCGATTTTATAGAATAATTAAATATATCAAATTAATTAAATTTATCTTCAAATTATGTGCCTAAATGGATGCATTGTAGCATCACCTATTTTTTAATAACAAATTATAGAATGGCATATCTCATCTTCGCCTTCCATGGCACTCAACACATAATAAAATTATCGTTTGTTGATCGGCCGTCCACTTTTATGGCATCATCAATAGACGATGTTGGTTATGCCATAATAGTAGAGCCTAAAATTCCACGGCTTTATGTTGAACTAAAAATAGTACTACTTAATACATAATATTGGGAAGTGAGGAGGGAAGGTGATTGTTCTTTTTAATTATTAATTAAATATTTCAGGTAAATTTATATATAACATTTTCTTTTGTCAGCCATGACAGCGCTATTACAACATTCTCTAGGGACAGTAGTCATCCTTAATAAAGATGGACAGCTTATTATTGAGAACCCACAGAAGTATTCAAACTTGCATTAGAACTCGACTACAGATGCATCACCCTCAATATATGGTTACTTTTAGTCCTGAAGTAGACAAAGAACTATTCGTTGGTGGTTTGAAACAAATTGTATACGATCATGATTATGTATCTTTCATGTATATACGGTGTTCAGTTATATTTTTTAATATGTATAGTACTACTATCTGTGCACGATATAGAAATTGACCTTCAAATATAGACATACTTATATGTAACACTTTTAGTAGTCTAGTCTTGTTCCTCACGTTATTCCGCAACTATTTATCGATTGAAGGTTAGAGGGTTGTCACCCATAAAAAAACAGTACCCCATATATATAATAGTAAATATGTCAATAGTTTCGCTTAAAATTATATTTTATTGAGGTATCTATAACAAGGAAAAGTATTATATAAATTGAGATGAACATATCTAAGAATACAAAGTATTATATTATAAGTAATGCAAATATGTAGATTCTGTGTTAGTAACGGAAATTTTAATTGGTCTCTCAGTGTGTTTCCCAAAATTTACATAATTAATTAAAAAAATATATAATCAGAAGGGAAAGGTAATAAAGTCGACCTTAAACAGTAACAACTATACTCGTTACAGATATGGATTGAATGATAATATATATTGTTTGTTTATCTTTTAATGTCTTAAAGGTTCAATCATCCTCATGAGTTTTTATGAAGACATGATCCGATTTTTATCACTTGGAAATTATACGCTACAAATACGCGGATGAGATTGCGGCCAATAGCCAGTATGTAGTAGCTCGTGGAATTCCATTGCGTTGGTGACGTAAACGCCATTGCCTGACCATTTCATCACAGCTGATGGGGACCTTGATGAGGGAAACGAAGAAAACACCAGTGGACGTGTACGTACGTACATACGTACACCGTACGTGTTGTGGGTCAGATATAAACATGTGGTAATAATAATTAGTCAATTTGTAAGCTATATAGAGATATATAGGGTATTATTTTGTATCACAACCATCGCATTACCCATAAAAAGAGCAAATTAGTAGAGAAGGTTAAGTTTCATAACTTTTTTGTATAATCAAGAAGATGGTAAATGCTTGAAGTGATGGTAGGTGTTTGTTGCTCGCTTATATGTGTATATATCAAACATGGTAATACTAAGCGATGAAATTAAACTATTAAATGCTTAAAACACCAGGGGGTGTTAAAACACCAGCAGTGTAAGTGTCATTAGAAATCCCCGATGCTGTTTTATTTTTTTAAATAGTATCTGACTTTTGTTATTTTGTGATTTAGCTTGAACATACATAATCTAAATTTGATTTAACGGCTTAAGTAGTCTAACAATTTATCATATCGCCTCATTTTCGATGTTCGCGGATCCGATTATCTCACGATATGTGTATATAGATACACTGTTCGTATTAGCTAGGATTTCTTTATTAGTATACACTATGCGTGTATTTGCATAAGAGTTTTTAAGTATTACTTAATAGTAATTATTACAATTATTATTTTATTAGTTCCCTATATCAATTTCTATTAGTGGTCTAATGCAACTAATAGAAATTACTCCAGGTACTAGATGGCGCTGTGTGAATTGTCAAGAGTTATTTATTTACGATCTTCTTTTATAGCCATTATTGTGTTTTATATTTATATTATATGAGTGTTATATTTTAATATTCTATCGTGAATTTAAGTGAGAATGTATAAGTTTTCTCCTCAATATTAAATACGGATACTGAGATGTTAAAAACTAATCATGAATCTAAATTCTCCATTTGAAAAGATGTTGTGGAAATTTAAGGTATGTTTTTACGAGAAACTCCAATGACGTTTTCATTGGAATTTCTCGTAAAAACTTACCTTAAATTGATAGCTTCACATTGGCTACTTGTAAATATTGTAACAGATAACAAAACATGTGTACCTGTGAACTTGCGAGAACCAGTTAGTAAATAAAAATCGACAGACTGTACTCAGTCGTCTACGTGGGTATCCCTCACCTTGTTTTTCCCGCCTACCAGAAGTTTGTTTTGTAAGCCGTTTTCCAGTTTAAACGGTGAAATAAAAGAGTAGTAGGCCTATGCAATGTGTGTTGCGAGCGTTTTAGAAAAAAATAATAATTCGGTAGCCAAATAATATCAGCCGTCGAGTAGGTATCCTAAAATGCCACAATACTAGATTCTTTTTATTTTACAGGCCACTGCTAATGTAATCTATAAAAAAACAGATTCCATACTTCTATATTCATTTTGTAAATATTGAAATGTGTCCGACAGTTTATATATACTTTCCATGAATAAATAGCGATCTGAATGAAGTAGGACATGGAGTTAGTTTATGTGTCGAAGAGACTATTTTTATTAAAACAAAGGAATAGACTTTTCCAATGACGATGACCGATGGTATAATATAAATATTTATATTTGATGTAGAGTAGTTAGAATGTACGTGAATAGACAAAATTAAGAAAATATTAATATTATTTTATTAGTGTAGATCTTCTTCATTGTCTTCACACCCACGCAGCCCCAGCGTACCCCCGATGCTCCCAAATCAGTCAATAATGGCAGGCCTATTACCGCATCGAGGCGCGATATACCGGTTATTGTAACCGGTTCGATTGCGATAACGACACTAGCACTTGCC